CTGACCCTTCTGGACAGGGTGTGCTCACCCTTCTTCACCACAGTCCTCACCACTCCTTGTTGGGTACCCACTCACTCTTTTGATCAGAAGTCTGGCTGTTGTAAGCATCTGACTTTACAGCTGTCCCTTGGAGTATGTGTGGTACTAGGTACCAGGATCCCTCATAGTACCAAAATCGCATGTTTAATTCATCATATAAAATGGTACACATTTGTACAGAACTTCTGCATCTCTTCCTATGTCCTTGCACTATCTGGACATTACCTGCTGGGATGTAATTGTTATGAAAAGAGCTGTTATACTACTTTGAGATAAGAAAAAAGATATACACACAGATGCACCTTTACCAAATATTTTTTTTAAACCTATTTTAGGAAGGCCAACTGTATGCCATGAAGAATGAGTGACATTGAAAAAGATAGGGTACTGCTTTCACTATATTTGATGTCAGTATAACTTGAGGAGGAGATGGGGAAAAACCAGTTGTTTAAAGATACAGGTGGACCTGTTGCAACAATGAGAAGTACAAGTTGTCATGTCCAAAACGAGCTTTACAACGTTGGTGCGGGGGGGGGAGGGGGGGGAAGGAGACAGATTGGGATTGGGGGGGGGGGGGGAGGCTGGGAAGGGATGGGAAGGGTAAACAAAAGGAGGAGGCTGCAATGCTTGGTAAGAAATGTACGCATTATCCTGCCCATGTAATTGTAACCCCTCTGTACAGTATCTTCACAAATAAAATAAAATAAAAAAAAAAGAAAGAAAAAGATAGGGTATAGCTCAAGTGGTAGAGTGCCCGCGTAGACAGTGAAAGGCTGAGTTCAAATCCCAGTATAGGACGGAAGAGAAGGAAGGAGGGAGAGAGGCAAGGAGGGAGGGAGGGATTACAAATTTGTCATTTATAAATTACTTGCCTGAAGAACAAGGGATTCTTTGTCATTTTCTAAGCGAGCTAGTCTTTCTTGATACACATCACCATTCCTAGATAGATGTCCATTTGTCTAAAAGAAAATGAAATCATACAGGTAAGGTCTCTAAGATTGACAAGAAAAAGTGAATCAATACAATTTGCCAATACTGGGGCTTGAACTCAGGACTCAGGTTGTGGGCCCTCTCCCTGAGCTTTTTTACCCAAGGCTAGTGCTCTACCACTTGAGCCACAGCTCTACTTTTTAGTTGTTAATTGGAGATAAAACTCTCAGGGAGGAAGTGGCACTGTGGCTCAAGTGGTAGAGTGCTAGCCTTGAGCTGCAGAGCTGAGGGACAGTGCCCAGACCCAGAGTTCAAGCCCCACAACCAACAAAAAACAAACTCTTAGGGACTTTCCTCCCCAGGCTGGCTTCAAACTACGATCCTCAGATCTCAGCTACTTGAGTAAGTAGGATTACAGACTGGAGCCACCTGTACCTAACATCAATTTATATATTTTTAACCCAAGGAGGCTGAAATAAATTAATTAAGACTGTCACTAATAATGAAAAGCAGGAGAATTCATATTTATCTTAAAACAGGTAAGACAGGTATATAAGATACTTAGATATAATTTTACCAACTTACTTTTTTTTGGTGCTGATACTGGGACCATGGCCATCCTTGAGTGCCACTTGAACAATCTTTCCAATCTGCTATGTCCTCACATTACCATAGTGCCTCTAACTTAAGGTGGTCTTACAAGCTGCTCACTTACTTCCCTTTCTAAGTTTCTATTTCAATTCTCAAGATGAAGTAAGAACTCCAAGCCAGAGAGCAATATATTTTAAAGCCCTCTATTTAGCCCCAGAATCTCATCATTATCTCTGTTCAGAAAAAGAAAGAAAGAAAGAAAATCCCAAATCATCATACCCAAAAAATGCACCTAGACCCAGGACCAGACAAGATGTCAGCTGACTAGATTTCAGAATGTGTGTTAGAGGCAAGTACAGAGCAAACTGGGAAGTATTCTGCTCTTTCTGAGCCCAAACTCTGTGTGTTTAGGACAGACTATTCTGGGTTTTCTTTTTCTAGATTGTTTTACTTCTGAGTTTTCTGCTTCTGAATTTAATTTTCTCAGAAGTGTTTGCTTTCAAGATGATTTTTCCACAATTATAACTATACCTGGGCACTGGTGGCTCACGCTTATAATCTTGGCTCCTCAGGTGGTTGATATATGAAGATAAAGGTTCAGAGCCAGCCTGAGCAAACAAATCCCAGCCATAAAGCCATAAGTGGAGGTGTGGCCCAAGTGGTAGATGCCAGCCAAGAAGGAAGAAGAAAACCAAGAAGCTTGAGGTCCTCAGTTTTTCCTTTGATCTGAGATATTGTCTGCTACAATCCCTGGGCAACCTCCTTGGGTTCCAAGAAAGAAAAAAAAATCACTGGGAAGCATCATGTTTCAAAGGCAAAGTGCCCCTCAAACAGGCAATGCCTTCTTTTTATCTTTTTGGAGAAAACTGGAGACTACCTTGTTCCTGATCTGCTCCAGTCATATGTGACAATTCTCCAGAATTCCTCCAAGGACAAAGACTGAGCCGCACCAGTGACCTGGGAATGTCTGAACCCTGATACCTTTCTCACTACCTGCCTCCGTTTGTCCCTATTTAACCTGATGCCAGTGTCTGTCTCCTGCAGATGGCTGAAGATGGACTGAAGTGCTGCTGCCATGACCTGTCTCTGCCCTTTACCAAGTATTTTTATTTTGCAAAACTATAGGGTGAGTGGTTGGACTTCTGGACTTTGGGGTCTGGGGTCTAAAAATTCGATTTCACATGCACAAAAAAAGAAGGGAAATAAAGTGTGGGTGATTTACAAACCCAACTCCCTTGTAAATGTACCAACCCTTTCCCACAATACACAGGGATTATTTAAATATTCTCTATAGAAGATCTACTCTTCAGGACTGACTTCCTGCCTGGCCTCCTGCCAAGCACTTGGCATATATTGGCCTATCTTAATTAGCACGAGCTTTTCATGAGGCTGCCTGCCAGAAAACCATGGTCCACAATCACAAAGGTCTTTAGAAAAATTTCTAACGGAACACTTCTAGGCATTAAGAGATCAGAAATCCAGTTCTACACTTCCAGAGCTTGAGTCCTGGTTACAGTCTAGACACAGCCTGATTGATTTGTTACTAGCTGATTCTCTCTCCCAGAATCATCATCTTATGTGGGCAATTCATCCATGTACAATATAAAAGTGTTCACTAGGATTTGGTGTTCTTCCTTTTTAGATTTACTTATCTATTTATTTTTGTGCTGGTACTAGAGCTTGAACTCAAGGCCTTGTGTCCTCATTTATCTTTTCTATCCAAGGCTGGCACTCTACCACTTGGGCCAAACCTTCACATTTTTGCTACTTAATAAGAGGTAAGAGTTAATATCTGTCTACCCAGCTAATCCATGATTAAAACCTCCTCAGATTTTAGATTTCAGCCTACTGAGTAGATTATAGGTGTGAATGAATTAGTACCTGGCAAACAGCATCCATTTTTGAGCTGAATGAATAGAAACAGCATCACTTGGTGAAAATCACCATTTAAAGCCCAACCACTCAGCCAGGCACTGGTAGCTCACGCCTGTAATCCTAAACTACTCAGGAGGCTGAGATCTGAAGATCACATTTCAAAACCAGCCCAGGCAAGAAAGTCTGTGAGATTCTTATCTCCAATTAATCACCAGAAAACAGGAAGTAGCACTGTGGCCCAGGTGGTAGAAAGCTTGTGGAGAGCTGAAGAGCTCAGGGACAGCACCCAGGCCAAGAGTTCCAGCCTCACAACTGACAAAAAAAAAGACCCAACCACTGGAACTGGAGTTGCACTTCAGGTGGTAGAGCGCCAGCATGGGGCGAAAATACTAAAGGACAGTGACAAGGCTCTAAGTTCAGCCCCAGTGCTAGCGCATGCGCACACGTGTGTGGACACACACACAAAATTATTAAATTAGATATAAAACAGCCAGGGGGCTGGGAAGGTGGCTCAGCGGTAGAGTGCATGCCTTGCAAGCATGAGGCCCTGGGTTCGATTCCTCAGCACCACATAAACAGAAAAAGCTGGAAGTGGAGCTGTGGCTCCAGTGGTAGAGCACTAGCCTTGAGCTGAAGAGCTGAGGGACAGCGCCCAGACCCAGAGTTCAGGCCCCATGACTGGCAAAAAAATAAAAATAAAATAAATAAAATAAAACAGCCAGGCACTGGTGGCTACCACCCATAATCCTATCTACTTAAGAGGCTGAGATATGAGGATGGAGGTTCAAAGCCAGCCTGGGCAGAAAATGTCTCCACGAGACTCTTATTTCCAATTAACTACCAGAAAACCAGAAGTGGCACTGTAATTCAAAGTGGCAGAGTGTTAGCCTTGAACAAAAGAGCTCAGAAACAGAGCTCAGGCCCTGAGTTCAAGCCCCACAACTGACCAAAATATTAATTAAATAATTGATAAAATATAAAAGAGCCCAATCCTACAACCTAACTGAAAGACTGGTCCTGATGATATGTACCACTAAGCTGGCACTTCATGTAGAAAACCAGTACAAACCCCCACTGATTTTTTTGAGTCTTTGCACTCTACTTCCAATCGAGAACTGTCAGTGAATTTTCCTTAGGAAACTTTCTATTACTTGTGCTAAAGCATCTGTGTGCAAAATCAGCACAAATCAGTCCATGTTTCTAGACGGAATCTGACAGCCATAAAAATTAGAAAAAAAAAAAGTAATAGCCAGATGCTGATGGCTCAGGTCTATACCCTAAACTACTCAGAAGGCTGATCTCATGCTGGTTCAAAGCCAGCATGAGCAGGAAAGTTCATAACTCTTAACTCCAACTAACCAGCAAAAAGCCAGAAGTAGAGCTCTGGCTCAAGTGGTAGAGCACCAGCCCTGAGTAAAAAAGCAAAGAGAGTGCACTGGCCAAGTTCAAGCCCTAATACCAGCATAAAAAACAAACAAACCGGTGCTGGTAAGGAATGGCTGTTGGTCTGTGAGGCTCTGGGTTCTACTTCTGCCCGCAGAGCAGCTCCCTGGTGAAGAGGAACCATGATGCTCCGGTTCACCAGGAACACGAAAATTAATGCTGAAAATAAGGTCAAGGTCACCATGGCAGGCGCAAAGTGTGTGCTTGTGCCGACTGCAGCAGCTTCTAAACCCGGGCTGAGACCAAGAACTGCTCTTGGAGATATTGGTAATAAAAACAGTGAACAGCTACAGGCCAGAGTGCCTCTGAAGAAGGAAGTAAAAGCTTCAGCTACTGGAAAAGTTGCTAAAAAGCTACCAAAACCTGGTAAAGGCCCCTGTGAGTGTGGGCGAGATAGAGCAGGAGTCTGAGCCAGAGCCAGAGCCAGAGCCAGAGCCAGAGCCTGAACCTGAACCTGAACCTGAACCTGAGCCTGTAAAGGAAGAAAAACTTTCACCTGAACCTATTTTGGTTGATACTCCCTCTCCAAGCCCAATGGAAACATCTGGATGTGCCCCTGCCAAAGAATATTTGTGTCAGGCTTTCTCTGATGTAATACTTGCAGTGAATGATGTGGATGCAGAAGATGGAGCTGATCCAAATCTTTGTAGTGAATATGTGAAAGATATTTATGCTTATCTGAGACAACTTGAGGAAGAACAGTCTGTCTGACCAAAATACCTGCTAGGTCGGGAAGTCACTGCAAACATGAGAGCCATCCTAATTGACTGGCTAGTGCAAGTTCAAATGAAATTCCAGTTGCTACAAGAGACTATGTACATGACTGTTTCTGTTATTGATAGGTTCATGCAGAATAATTGTGTGCCCAAGAAAATGCTGCAGCTGGTTGGTGTCACTGCCGTGTTTATTGCAAGCAAATATGAAGAAATGTATCCTCCAGAAATTGGTGACTCGTGTTTATTGCAAGCAAATATGAAGAAATGTATCCTCCAGAAATTGGTGACTTTGCTTTTGTAACTAACAATACTTACACTAAGCACCAAACCAGACAGATGGAAATGAAGATTCTAAGAGCTTTGAATTTTAGTCTGGGCCGCCCTCTACCCCTGCACTTCCTTCGCAGAGCATCAAATTTGGAGAGGTTGATGTTGAGCAGCATACATTGGCCAAATACCTGATGGAACTGACTATGATGGATTATGAAATGGTGCACATTCCTCCTTCTCAAATTGCAGCAGGAGCTTTTTGCTTAGCACTGAAAATTCTTTTTTTTTTTTTTTTTTGGGTCCAGTCGTGAGGCCTGAACTCTGGGCCTGGGCGCTGTCCCTCAGCTCTTCAGCTCAAGGCTAGCGTTCTACCACTTGAGCCATAGCGCCACTTCCGGCTTTTTTCTTTTTGCTTATGTAGTACTGAGGAATCGAAACTCCAAGGGCCTCAGGTATGCAAGGCAAGCGCTCTACCACTGAACCACCTTCCCAGCCCTGAAAATTCTTGATAATGGTGAATGGACACCAACTCTACAGCATTACCTGTCTTATACTGAGGAATCTCTTCTTCCTGTTATGCAGCACCTGGCTAAGAATGTAGTCATGGTGAATCGGGGGCTTACAAAGCACATGACTATCAAGAACAAGTAAGCTACATCTAGGCATGCTAACATCAGCATTCTACCACAGCTGAATTCTGCACTAGTTCAAGACTTAGCCAATGCTGTGACAAAGGTGTAACTTGTACATTTGAGATGGAGTACTATAATAATAGCTGCAAATAAAATTGGCACCATGTGCCACTTATACATACTATACTACATTTACTTGGTTTTTAATGAAGGATGCGGCCATTTTTGCTTTTAATAGCTTAATTCATCTAAATGTCATTACTTCCTATTCTGGGGTAACCTGTAAGTCATATTAAAAAGTTTTTTTGGGTTTTTAAAAAAATCTTTTTTGTTTTTAAGCTGCTTTCAGTTTACCAGGGACTCCAACTGATGTATATAATTGTCACTTACATGTTTATATACTTGACTGTTTTAATGTACCTAGATTTTCCTTTTGATATGGTAAAGATACATAAGACGGATAGTCTCATAGGACATAACTGCATGTGAGCTAAGTCATTGTAGAGAACGTCTTACCTATTTCTGTTTTTCAGTCAAAGCTCACACCATCTCATCCCTAATTCCCTTGTGTTGTTTCTTCAGGTGCTTGCTGCTCTGTTTTTACCACTTTCTTGAGCTATCAACTTTATCTTTTTCTTTACTTTCTCATTTTAAAAATCCAGTTTTCATTTTATGTATTTGTTTTTGTTTATTGGTTAGGAAAATAAAACAAGATGTTCAAAACAAAAAAGTTAATTTGCCCAACCTTTCTTAACCTCATCTGTTTAAAGGATATTGACAGATTAGATGCATCTAGCTCCCCTACCCTCTCTAAACATCCATATATATGAGTTGCCCTGGAGAGTTTTCAATGGGTCCATTCAGCACACAGCAACATTCCTTCCAATGTGTAAGCCTTTCTGTGTTTATTTATACATCACATACTATGGATATACTGTATGTAATGTACATAACTATTGCCCTGTTGACATTCAGAATACATTTTTCATTGCCTAAACAATGCTGGTTAACTTTATACAGTTTTTTTGTTTGTTTGTTTTTTTGGGGGGGTCCGGTCGTGGGGCCTGAACTCTGGGCCTGGGCGCTGTCCCTCAGCTCTTCAGCTCAAGGCTAGCACTCTACCACTTGAGCCACAGCGCCACTTCCGGCTTTTTTCTTTTTGCTTATGTGGTGCTGAGGATTCGAACCCAGGGCCTCAAGCATGCAAGGCAAGTGCTCTACCACTGAGCCACCTTCCCAGCCCGTACAGTTGTTTTCTTGATGTGATAGATCTCCCAAAGTGTTTGTATTCATTCAATCACATGACTTTCTCAGTGTTGTCAGCAGTGTACACAAGTGCTTTTCTCTGCATCTTTGTTAAATCTAAAAGTAATTTGTCTTAAATCTTTGTGAATGTAACTAGCAACAACTACTCTATCTCGTTTGTTGTTTTAATTTATACTCTCACCTGTACATGCTATGTTACCCCAAGTTAAATAAATGGTTGGTCTTATCAATGTGAAAACAAAACTAAACTAAACAAACCAGTAGTGATAGCACTTTTTTTTAAAATCACTATATATTATTTTTAATTTCATTTTATTTTTTCTTCCTGTACTGGAATTTGAACTCACGGCCACTCACTCTTCTGTAGCTTTTCTACTCAAAGCTGGTGTTCTAACACTTAAATCGTATCTGTACTTCGAGCTTTTTGCTGACTTATTGTATATGAGTTTCTTGTACTTGTTTGCCTGGAATGACTTCCAACATCAGTACTCAGATCTCAGCCTCCTGAGTAACTAGTATTACAGACATGAACTACTGAGACTAGCTACTCAGGAGGCAGACCTGAGGATCTTGGTTCAAACCCAACTCAGGCAGGAAAGTCCATGAGACTCTTATCTCCAATGAACCACCAAAAAGCCAGAAGTACAGCTATGGCTCAAATGGTAGAGTGCTAGCTTTGACCAAAATGCTCAAGGACAGCACCCAAGCCTGGAGTTCAAGCCCTAAGACTAGCACACACCACCACCACCACCACCATAATAGTAGTAGTAGTTGTAAAAGTTTTTTTTTAAGATTCATAGTTTAGAAAAGTAACATGCAGATCTACCATCTGACTCTGCAGCCATTCAACCAGGGCTTCTGCTGTGGAATCTGGGACCTGGCATCGCAAGCCTTCCTTCTCATCTGATTCCATCATCTCTAACAGGCCTCGCAGATCCTCCACTAGGTGCAGGGCTCGCAAACTTCCCATGAATGGAGACGTGGGAGACTGGCAATCAAAAAGCCCATTGGAATATTCCAGGGCCTTAGAACCTGGGTTAAAAACAAACAAAATTAAAAAAAAAAATCAGTGCAAGAGAGATAAACCACCACGACTAAAATGGTCAACCAAGGAATAATCAAAACAGGAACAGGGAAGAGGGGTGCTGGTGGCTCATACCTGTAATCCTAGCTACTCAGAAAACTGAGATCTGAGGATCATGGTTCAAAGCTAGCCGGGAAAGGAGAGTCCAAGAGAGTCTTATCTCTAGTTAATCAGCCAAAACAGGATTGGAGGTATGGCACAAGTTGTAGAGCATCAGCCTTGCATAAAAAAGCTAAGCAAGGGCTGGGAAGGTGGCTCAGTGGTAGAGCGCTTGCCTTGCATGCCTGAGGCCCTGGGTTCGATTCCTCAGCACTACATAAGCAAAAAGAAAAAAAGCCGGAAGTGGCGCTGTGGCTCAAGTGGTAGAGCACTAGCCTTGAGCTGAAGAGCTGAGGGACAGCACCCAGGCCCAGAGTTCAGGCCCCA